TGTTCTCTGTCTTTAAGAGTCTCTCAGGGTTTGTTTTAATAATTTTTTTCCAGCCAGTTGTTTTGGGGTCAGCAAACTCCTGTAAAGGGCCAGATGGGAAATAGTTTTGGCTTTGCAGATCTTAGGATCCCTGTTGGAAGTACTCAACTCTGCCATTATAGTGTGTAAGCAGTAATAGGCAATATGGAAAGGAATGGGTTCAATTGTGTTCCAATAAAGCTTTATTTACAAAAATCAGCCTGCTGGCTGGATTTAGTCCTTGGGTATGGGACAAGTCTTGCTGACTATATTTTAAAGATGCAAGTATATCATACATAAATAATATGTTTTTCCTTGTTTCTAAAACAGTGAACTTCAGGACAGTGTTGAAAAATAGAAGTGTTCTTGTTCTTATTTAAGGTGCTGGTATTTCACCATTAAATTCAATGTTTCCTTAAAAATTTTTTTTAATGTTTATTTATTTTGGAGAGAGAGAGACAGAGTGTGAGCAGGGGAGGGGCAGAGAGAGAGGGAGACACAGAATCTGAAATAGGCTCCAGGCTCTGAGCTGTCAGCACAGAGCCTGATGCAGGGCTCGAACTCACGAACCGTGAGATCAGGACCTGAGCCGAAGTCAGACGCTTAACCAACTGAACCAGCCAGACACCCCTAATTCAATGTTTCTTATTAAATTTTTGGTAGATATTTTTACCCAGTTAAAGATGTTATTTATTTGTAGGTTACTAAGAGATTTTAACAGCAATATGAAAGAATTTTATCAAGAGCTTTGTGAGCATCTCTTAATCTTAACATTTTCTCTATGTTGTTTTTCATGCATATAAACAAAATATATTATGTTGAATTATCTTTGAATTCCTGGAATAAATGGCTCCATTTCCTTTATTTAGGATTTCTACACCTACATTCATAAATGAAGCCATGATTTCCTTTTTGTGTATTTATTTGATTTTTAGTACTATTCCAACATTGTGGAATGAATTGGGCGACTTTCCATCTTTTTCTATGTTCTGAAATACTTTAGTTTTTAAATTTATTAATTGATTGATTTTTTTATTTTATAGAGAGTGTGAGCAGGGGAGAGGGACAGAGGGAGAGAGAGAGAGAGAGAGAATGTCTATGCTAAGTGTGGAGCCCGATGTGGTGCTCTATCTCATGACCCTGGGATCATGACCTGAACCAAAATCAAGAGTCGGGTACTCAACTGTCTGAGCCACCCAGTTGCCCCTGTTCTGAAATATTTTAAATGACATAAAAAATAACTGTTCTTCGCACGTTGCCCAGAACGCCCCAAAACTCTTTGAGTCTAGTGAAGTGTTTAGTGATGAACCTTTGTCATTTCAATTTCTTTTATGTTATTGTTCTATGTGAAAAACAGTGTTCTCCCCTGGAAGCCTGGTTGTGTGCTGTATTAGGTCAATTTCACTTAGACTTGCCCTTGTGGAAATTGATCAGCCAAGTGTAAGAGCTGAGGGAAAGTTGTTGTAGGTTAAAATATCCTTGTTGGTTTATCCTTGTTGGTTTACCCATTTCTGTTTGTGGTCAACAGTAGAAAAAGATAAAAGAAGAAGGCTCTGGAAACATAGCAAAGGGAAAAGCAAGCCATTTAGAAATAAAAACAGTTGGTAAGGTGTGGCACTAGGCTCTATCTGAAGTAGAAGGGAGGATGCTATTCTTTTTCCAACCTTTGCTTTCACCTAGATGGAGCATCACTGTTTTGTTTTTGTTTTTGTTTTTTACATCACTATTTAAATTTTTTTTTTAATGTTTATTTTTGAGACAGAGAGAGACAGAGCATGAACGGGGGAGGGGCAGAGAGAGAGGGAGACACAGAATCGGAAGCAGGCTCCAGGCTCTGAGCCATCAGCCCAGAGCCCGACGCGGGGCTCGAACTCACGGACCGCGAGATCGTGACCTGAGCTGAAGTCGGACGCTTAACCGACTGAGCCACCCAGGCGCCCCTACATCACTATTTAAAGAAAAGAAACGATGGTGCATTTTAGAAACTGAATTGGCCTTTAGGCTCCTGGAAAGTGGAATCAAAGAAACCCAGTTTCTATTAAGTTATCAGGTCTCATTTGCTTGAGCAAATGGGACCACATCTGGTCCCAGGTGTTGGGGACCCTGGGTTGTAGACCTCCCCAGTCTCCCCAGTCTGTTCTCTCGCCTCCCCCTCCCATTCCATGGACTGTACCCTTTCTCAGGCAAGGGAGCACCTACCTGGAGCCTGCCCTCCCTCTCCTGCCCCATGCTCAGGTCCGGGATCCTGGGGATTTCTTGCCAAGTGGTCCCAGGCTGGAGGCTTGTTCAGCATCTTCACCTGCGCTGATCTCATGCCAAAGAGTGTCCCAGGGGTGGCCTACATGGTGGGGGACTGAGCCACAGGTGAGAACACAGTGGGAGGCACCACGGGTCCACCTGTTCTCTTGCTCCAGGTGTACACGTGTTGGATTTAGGACTAGGGATGTGCTTTGCTTGGGCTCAGAAGGGTTGCTTTCAAGAATGGGGTAAAGGATATATTTTTATTTCCTTTAGACCCTAGCATCCAGCTTTTCTAGCTCAGTGTCCCGGGCAAGGAGAGAGATTCAAGGTAGAATCTGTAGAAGCATTTCAGAGTGTGGACTTGGCTGTTCTTCCCATGATCTGTATCTCTCAGGGTTCTCAGTGTGACTAATGGGGAGCAGAATGGGAGGCTCCTTCAAGGGACTAATTACAAATATGCCCATAGGCTCTTTCTCATATTTTGTTTACTATTTTTGAAAGTAGGGTGGACATCAGATCTGTTCTTAGGGCTTTTCTACCCAAGTTTTTAATTTTTTTTTAATGTTTATTTATTTTTGACAGAGAGAGAGAGACAGAGCATGAGTGGGGGAAGGGCAGAGAGAGAGGGAGACACAGAATCCAAAGCAGGCTCCACGCTCCGAGCTGTCAGCACAGAGCCCAGCACGGGGCTCGAACTCACGGACCACAAGATCATGACCTGAGCCGAAGTCGGACGCTCAATTTACTGAGCCACCCAGGCGCCCGGTCTACCCAAGTTTTTAGATGTCCTTTCTGGGTATAGAGGAAAAACCTTGAGAGGAGCAAGGTCTGGAGGACTTGCCCAAGCCCCGAGCAAAGGGAAACCCAAAGAAAAAGAATTCTGTCCTCCTTTTCAGACCCTCCAGTTCTTGGGAAAACTTTTCTCTACCCAGGTAGTTATAATTACTTTCACAAGATTATTGGCCCAGAGCAAAATCTCTTCAAGCTGAAACTCCATTTGTCCTGAGCTTCAGCTTGGAATTATGGGGAGCAGGATGGTGGGGCGGTGGTGGAGATTATGGTGTTAAGGAGTTTGCCCTGAGGTAAGGGCACTCCTCTGGGATCATAAGCCATGGCCTTCCCTTGGGCATGACATTGGAGACTTGAGGGGGCCAGTGCCCCATAATGCTCTCCAAGTCTACCTCATTTGCTGACATTTGCCTTTCTCTATGTGGGGCTAAACCCCCTAATCGAAGGCTTTGAGCTCTAAGAGGTTTACTCCTTCCCAAGGTGCCTGACAATACCAGCGTGTGGAAGGTCAGGAGGCCAGGAAGCCAGGGGAGCCTGGGGCCACAATGGGGAACTGGAAAGTTCCCGATTTGCTTATTCTTCAGGGACCCGGTTATCCTGAAGTCTTGCTTCCACATGAATTACAATTTACTCTCAGCCCTCCGTTTGTATGTAGGCGACCAATGATCTTCTGAATGAACAACACAAAAACAAAGCTGCAATTTTCCTGGAAATGATGAGAGTCAACCCTGCAGGGATCAGTGGTGGTCGTGAGCCAGCCGAGCCCCACTTCCTGCTCTCTGTCCTCCTGTGTAACAGGAACAAGGTAGAGCATTGTGTGGCGACCAGCTGGTCCAGGAGAAAGCAGTGGCAGAGGGAGTTGGGGCTTTATTCTCTGGGGTCAGAGCACTGAAAGTCAAAGAAATCTGAAGCCCTGTGGACGATTCCAGGCCAGGGCCAGGGGATTCCAGGTGCTAGTTCCACAATCTAAAGCCAACTTAAAACCGCACGCCCACCTCTTCCTGCCCTGTGCCCTCCCACCTCCCAGCTGGTCAGCTGCTGGTCCCGTTTCCAGTTTCCTCTCCAATGCTGGCACCTGCTTCATCACCAAGTTGGCTTTTCCTCAGCCGTTGAGATGGGTTTACACCCTTTGACTCGCACTCTGTGGTTACTACAGATGAGAAAACTGCTTATTCCCTTACGTGTTCAAGTACTTAGCTGGAGAACCGGGTTCTTACAGAACTTTTACCTTGACTTTGGCAGAACAATTTCCTTCCATGCTGGTGGTTACTTTCCTGGCTCACAGGAAGCATAGGATATAAGTGTTTCCGCCACATGGAGTCCTCATGGACTGGGAAAGCCCTCAGATGTAAGGGAGGTGGGTGGTAAGGTGTAAGCCGTGCAGCCCAGAGTGGGGGGGCGGGACCCTCACACAAGGGTGTGCCTCGTTCATTCCTCAGGCTTCTAGCATTTGTGATTTAGCAGAATCGCAACAAAACTTCTGTTTGCTTTGGTGCCTGCCATAGGAAAATCCCGTCCACCAAGGAATTCCCTCTTGGGAAAATGGGTGATGGGCATTGAGGAGGGCACTTGTTGGGATGAGCACTGGGTGTTGTACAGAAGCCAATTTGACAAGTCATACTCATAAAAAAATAAAAATAAACAAAGTTAAAATAAAAAAAAAAAAGGAATTTCCCCTTGGCTCTGTGTTTCTCCACCATGAAGGAAATCAGGGGAGGGGAGGTCCTAGGAACAGGTGCGAAGAGGCTGCAGACCCCGGTCAGACCGCACGCTGCTGCCACACAGCACGGCATTGAGGAGTCCCAGTCTCGCACAGGAAACCTCCAAACATTAAAAAGTTCCCAGGCCACTTGGGTGTGGATGCGATACAGTGGAGGCAGGAGTGGGGGGCAGGGAGGATATGGGAACCCTCTGTACTTTCCGCTCAGTTGTTCAGTGTTTGAAGTTAAGACTGCTCTAAAAATAAAGTTTATTAATTAATTTAAAAAAGTTATCGGGAAAGAACATCTACAGTAGGTCAGATATGATTAATAACTACTGTCAACACTGCATCGCTAACGAAGGATACAATATTATTATTTATAAGGTACTTATAAGAAAAGACCAATGAATAATATACATCTAATTTTTTAATACGCAATATACAATCAACATGTTCTGATCAACAGTGTAAACCATATAAAAGAGAATCTTGCTTTTCATTTGTACACATATTGCTTTCATCACAGCAAAATTTTACATTGTTAAGACGTACCATATATAGAAGCTATAAAGCTATTGCTTGCTTGTTTTAGAAATGAAGGTATTGCTGTCTGTTGTTAACTGGACATGGTCACACTGATTATCAGGCATCAGATCTATAGGATCTCTTCATTTCCAAGACATGGTGTTACAGTATAAGATTGTTTTGTAACCAAATCAGGTCAAAGGGTTTAAAAATAACAAATGCACCTAAGGAAAAAAAAAAGTATGCTTTTCCTTGAAGTTTCGTCTGCTAGGTGATAGGGTGGGGATGCATAGTAAGAACTTTTGTGGGCAATTTAGACAGGACAGACCTGTGACCTCGGAGGGCGTAACGTGGCTGTAAAGTTTTAACCGTGGAAGAGAAAATCCTAATTGCTTTAGGTTTTTTTTCCCCAGATGCAATTTATGGAAAATATATAAAAGTGTTTCTTAAAGCAAGAATCCTTTTCTTGGACTATTGTTTTGTAAAAGCCATCCAGCTACTTACACAATCTTCTTAATGTCTCCCCTTTATAATGTAACATATATGTCAATGTTTTATTTTAGCCGGGCAAACAAAAGTTACCTGCTTATGATGGGTGCCATGTTGGTTGGACCAGCAGTGAGAATGCTCTCTACCTTTATTATACCACCAGTCCACCTTTAATAGGGGGAATGGAAAAACCTATCTGTTCCACATTTCCTTCCCTTTTCAATCAGCTGGTTAAACCTCTCCCTTCTAGTGCTTGGGCAGCTTGTCATGGAACCTGTCCTCCCCCGAAACAACTGGCACTGAGGTCCTTGAAGTGTTAAGTTGTCCAGGCACCTAGGTTGGTGGTTCTCAACCTTGGCTGTCCATCAGAACGACCATTAGGAGCTTTCAAAGGCACGGATGCCTGGATTTCACCCATAAAGATTTTATTGAATTGGTCTGGGGTGCAGCTGGACCTCACTAGTTTCAAAAGCTCCCCAAGGGATTTCACTGTGCAGCCAGGGGCTGAAAACACTTTTTCGGGAATGGGAAGGTGAGGTCATGAGGCAGCTTGGGAAACATGGACTTCAGTGTACTGAGTAACCAAAACATGCTGAACATTATTAGGGTTCTGCAGATCTGTTTAGTCTATTGGTAAATGCATATCAGCTATAAATATAAAAATAAAAATAATTTGTATCAAAGTCAGATTAGTGTATATAAACCAACAAAGTGCTATATTATTGCTTTTTTTTTTTTTTTTTTACATCGACAGGATCATGCTGGCAGTTGAGTACAGCATAGCATGCAGTTGGATCCGTGTTAGCAATAACAAAGTCATTCTTTTTCTCTAACATGGAGAGAGCCTGCTTTAGTGGAAGACTAAACCATATGTGCTTTTTACCTTTTCTCATTTTATAAATATAAAGGCACGATTCCTCTTTATCAGGACAATGACCTAGCTTAGCTCTGAGACGAGGCTGTGCCTTTTTACGAGAAAGAGGAGCGTTCCATTGCTTTAATTAAATCCCTTCAAAGATTTCAGTTTCGACTTTTGATTCTATTTCAGTCTTTTAGTAGAAAAATGAGTTTTTCTAAAAACATACCTTACAAAGTTCAGTGCTACAAGAGAGGCTACTATTCTTCAAAAAAAAGTTACAAAAATAGATTAACATTTACAAACCCTATGTGAGTGTGTCTTTCATAGTACAAAAATGTATGCCCCTGATACGGCAGGTGTGGCTGGTAATAGAGGCAGGGATTTCTTTTCAGTAAGGTTTTACAGCCCGTGGGCAAGGAAATATAAACAGATTGATACGTTGTAATAAAAACGTTCACTTATCAAAAGAGAAATGCAAAGTAGACGTTGAGGGCAATTCCACCAGCTGTCACGCGGTGAGCGCCTCACTGTGAGAGAGACGATTTTTCTAACTTCTTAGAAAACGCAAACTGTTCCGGGGCTTTCCGGAGGCTCAGGTTTGGGTATTTGCCACTTTCAGGGTAAGCTGCCGGTGACGAAGAATTAGTGGCTTTGGAACGGTCACGAGTGGGCAAGTCTCAGGAATATTAAGGACTCCACCACCTTCCTTTACCTGACTCAGGCTTTTCTATTCGGCCCTGACTTGGGGGCATGGTATAGACGACCTTACAGATCACCTTAGAGGTGAGGGTTTAACTCTGCCCATTAGGATCACGTGGGGAGCCCTGAGAGTCCCCTTCATTGGTCTGCAGGGACTCTGCCCCTGCTTTTTAAGCTCACCAGGTGATTCTGTTTGGCAGCAAGGGTGAGATCTGTGGGTCACCATAACTCAGCAACTTGACCCCTGCTTGTGTAACCTGAGGCCTGGAGAGTGTGCAACAGGCCAGCGGGATGCCTCCAGCTGAGGGACGGGCCTCCCCATAGGCCTTTCCTTTATACCAGTGTTTCCCCAAACTTTGGTGCTCATCAGAATAAGCTGGGGAAGCTCTGAAAAGCCCATGGGCCCAGGCTGCACCTGAGCCAAACTAAGTCAGAATCCTTCAGATTAAGCACTTTCAACAAATACCTAAGCCTTGTTATCAACTGGAACGCAATATGGTGCCTCCACAATGCTCCTGGTTATAAAACCAGTGACAACTGGCACTCAGCAAATCTAGAATTTGGAAGATTCATCTTTTTTACTTTGTGAGGTGACAAAAGTGTGTTTCATAGAGTATGACGGCAGGGACTCCTTAAAGTTTATACGAGACGTGTGAGGACGCTGGCCCATTGTAAGCATTCACTTACAACTACTTTTCCCTGAACTGTTTCCAAAGACCAAATCTAAGGTGGGGTCAAGGGGAACGTTTCCAGGAACTGATTGAGAAGGAACAGGCTCTTTCCAGGGTCTTTGAACCCAGTGTCAACAAGGAGGAACTGAAGAGACAGAGTAGAAGCTTTGAACCCTGGCCAATCAGGGCCATGAAATGGAAATACTGGTGCTGCGGGGAGCCCTCTCCTCATCTGCCCACAGTGACAGCTGGGGCTCTTGACTCGGGCTCTGCATTCTCAGGTTCTGAAGCATCTACAAGCCCCCTCTGCACCTCCCTGGATAGCCATTGTGAGGACATTTTGGGAAACACAGTCCTACAATTAAGAGAATTTAGCAACCAGATTTTATGCAGGAAAGCTGAAATACAAAAAAGAAAAAGCTTGAATAGTTTTTGCCGTTTTATTATGTTATAGTAAAATATTGCAAATTACAAAAATACTAGGATTTAACTGCTACAGTTGAACTCACATTCAGTTGCTCTCCCTCACTAGTCCCTTGCTTCTTGAAAAATAAGTGGTGACAAAAATGTGCATCATTCTGTTTCCTGGGGCTGGAGAAACTTATCAAAATATTTATGTTCTGAGGTGAATAAATAACAGAAGTGCTTTACTGACAATGGCATAAAGTGTTAGATTCTTAGAACGATGTTTAATCTTTTTGCTCATCATTTTCAAATCCCCATAAGGACCCACATGTAGGGCACTTGGGAAATGTTACAGGCTAGTTCCCAGGCTTAAAGGGACAGTTTGTAAAGACCACCTAAGGTAGGCTTTTCTCCCACTTTCATTAGTGGTTCCTCTGGCGGATGCTTTCTTGGTCAAGTTTTCCTCTGCTTGGAACACACGTCCCATTTCCCTTGTGGCTAAGACCCTGGTCCTGTTTTGACCCAACTCCACCACTCCCTCCCCGAAGAGCATTCCAGGTCCCCCCAGGCAGGGCCCATCCACTATTCCCTGTTCTGTGCTGTCCGTGCTCGGCAGACCTGTCTTGCCTACCATCCCATCATGTTGCTTTAAGGTTGGCCTTTAGGAGTCAATTCCCTCGGCCAAATTGTGAATTTCTTGGAATCGGGATTATGTTTTATTTATTTTTCTATCATTAGTGCTTATGCTGGGCTGGGATAGTTGCTTAAGAGTATTGAATAACATTGGGACAAGATCAATATTTTGGTAACAAAGCTGTGCGGCCCTGACCTGACAGTCAATAATTTAATAGCAAAAGGACAATTGTGTGTGTGTGCGTGTGTGTGTGGCTGAACACATCTGTAGGCTGGAAATACTGTCTGCAACATTCTTCCCTTGATAAGCTGGATGTTGACTAAGAGTGTTTAAAACACTGTATACAAAGCACTGCCGTGAACCGATTGGGTTACAGGGAAACACAGGTTGGAAAAACACTTAGCGTCCTAAATTATCTGGATTTTCCAATAACTGGGAAATTGTTTTAAGAGGGATTTTTTTTCTAAAATACCCGTAGATGTCGTTAAGGCATTGTCATCAATTTCAAACTCTGATTTCATATTTACCACTTTCTTCCCCTATATATAATGTTGTCTTATATCCACCTGTATAATGCGCCCCCCAGCGGCGAGGGCTATGCGTTCCCGCACAGGGGCCTCAGAGCCTGGATCCCTTCATTCCCGAAGAGCGAGGCGGGCGCTTTGGGGCAGCTCATCAGAAAGGAAAAAAGTACCCTTTGAGTAAAAATCTTCTAAAGTGACATAAAAAGAAAATTATCTCCCATAAGTAGCCTAATTTGGTGGTGGGAGGCTGAAAGTGTTTTAGGAGCGGCTGTACCTCAGCAGTGTCCCGATATATGGCCACTCCTTGACCCCTAAGGGACTTGATGTATTTCCTTTGAGACTCAAATTTGAGAGACATGTTCTTGTGTGAACTTTTGCATTATTGTTCCATCTTGATTAAAGGCTATTGGTCTAAATACGAGCCGATGCTGGTTATGGTTTGATGTACCGTCTCCTCCTACTGACAGGGAAAGCATACTGAGTTTCAGTGGAATGGAAAATAAACAAGTAAGTCTAATACTTATAACTAGAAAACACTGGACAACCAATGGAGAGTAAGTACCATGAGGAAACCTGTATAAAAAGAAGTCTGAAGAAGAGTTCCCCCCCCCTCTGTTTCTTCTTCAGTCAGGAAGGGTTCAAAGTGGCTTTATCCTCTCGTACCTGGTATGACTTGATACAGTACCAATAAGTCCCGCTCAGGACATAGAGCACTTCTAGTTTTGTCTTGCAATGGAAGAATCATGAAGCAGAGTCAGTGGAATCAAATGTTAGCTGGAAGACGCTGACCCTTGCTTCTTGGTCACAGTTGGGCCTGGATCAACCTAGTGCAGCAAGTGCTACAAGCAAGCTTCTTCCTCATTGGAAAAGCCCATTATAAACAAAATCAACAATGACAATTAAAAACCCCAAGGGCCCCCAAGCAATAAAACTCCTTACACAGTTTGTTTCATCAGATATACCTCATGGCAAGGTGAACTTCTGCCCAAACAGACAATATTCTTGCTGGATGCCTTTTTTGTGGAGGCCTCACAGTTCGAAGACAAAGGAATGTCCCAGAAACTTCCCCAAAGTGCATCCAAGTAGGGGGAACTTCCTGCACGAAAGATGGGTCCCATCGGAGCAAATATGGCTGAACCAGTCACGGGTCCAAGAGTTAACATGGGCATGACTATCAGCACTGAGTAGCTGCCGTGGCTTGACCCAGGGACTGAAACGTTGGAGATTGTGACGGCCAACACTATCCTCCATGGTCATGCTCCAATAAATTCACTGCTGGGCGGTGCTACCCTTAGGTAGTCTGCATTTTCAGCTGCAGGACCCTTAAAGATGCCATTTGACTTGGCTTCCTTGGGAAAGAAGTCCTGCTGGTAGTCAGGGTTGTCCAGGCTAATCTGGTGGTTGCCTTTCTGGGCCCAGAGGGTGGGGCCATCGAGCACACTGTTGACGCAAGTGGGGTGGGTGTTGAGATACTCAGGGTTGTCCACTGCATTGCTGTGGGGATTTTGGTAGTGAGGGTCTCTGACAGGAGCTGGATTTAGAGGCTGATTGTGATAGACGGGGTTCTGGACGGAACCCGCAGGCCTTTTGGGAACAGCCTGGTTTATGTATTCTGAAATGGAAAAGAAATCACAGGTGAAGTACTCAGTAAAGCATCGTCCCAAGCAGGATTCCTGTGTACCATCTGAACCCTATCAATACTCTTCCCTGAGGCAACCAAATGTAGGGACAGCTGGGAGGATGATTCTCTGGCTGTTGCTGCAAAGTAAATTACGTTCCTTTCTGTATTTCTCAAAGCAATTGGCACATCTGTCTCTTGCCAATTTAAAGTTTGGAAAAAGATGGCCCGCCTTGAGGCGCATGTGTGCACACAGGTATGGTACGTCTGGGGATAAAGCTCGGATTAGGAAAATACATGTTTCATGGGCCAAGAATGGAGCCAGGATCAAATCTGTCACACGTGTTCAAACACTCACTGGCACACACACAATCATACACACGCACACACACGCCTTTAATGCCTGCTTCAAATTCTAGAACGTCTTCTGATTGATTCTAAAAGCACACCTCCAACCTGGACGTGACTTGAGCTCAATACAAAGACCCTCACGTGTGCTCGGTCGGTTTGTATTTCTCTGCCTCTCACTGTCTACATTGTGTCTGTGAATTTGCCAGAGTCCCCACCTCCGGATTAGCCTGAAGGAAGCATGTCCTCTGGGCACCAGGGGACGGAGGCTGGCCCTGCTGCCTGGGGAAGCCTATGACCGTGTTCAGCGTTAGCCACTCACCAGGTGCCGGGAGGAAAGTGTCATCCATGTTGTCCTCAGTCAAGGTGCCAGTGGGGTCTGAGCTGTACCGCTGCAAGAAGCTGTCTTCCTTGAGGGGGCAGCTCTGAGGGGAGGGAAGAAGGCAAGGTTATTAGTCGGTGCTGCTCAGACTTCGATGTGTATAAAAATCACCTGAGATTTTGTAAAATGCAGATTCTGATTCAGCAGGCCCTAGAGAGGGCCTGAGATTCTGCATTTCCAGCAAGCCTCCCCCCACCCCCTGGATGATGCCAGTGCTGCTGGCTCACAGACCACAGAGCAAGTGGCAGGGACCTGGTCAGTGCTGTGAAGCAGGGATTTCGGCAACAGAAATGTTCCATAATCTGTGCTCTTCAGTGGTTGCTGACTGAAACTGAAGCAGACACGTGTGGCTGGAGGCTTCTCTCTTGGTAAGTATGGGTCTGGATCAAGGCTTCATGTGATCAAGCATGAGCACCCCTTGGAAGGCCGGCTCAAACACAGATGGCTCGGCTCTGCCTCCAGCATTCCTATGTAAGTAGGTCTGGGCCGGTGGCTCGACAGTTTTCATTTCTCACAAACTGCCAGGTAATGCTGCTACCCCAAGTCCACAAACCACATACCGAACAGCACTGTGATAAGTGATAGCTATTACTGGCCTCAGAGTAGGGGTCAGGGAAACCAACCAGGGAAGAAAGGAAGGAGATACAGGAAGGAAAATCAAGATTAGTTGGGTTAAGACAGGCATTTTCTATGTCCAAGAGAGCCATGATCCAGAGCTGTTGTTTAATCCTGGTTTATTAGGTGTTCACACATACCCCATTTCTATCGATGCAAGTCACGGTGGAATTGTTGCTGGTGGCACTCTGAAAGAGGTAAACAAACAAACAAACAAACAAAAGGTAAACAAAAAATTGCTGATCGTACACTTGCATCTTCTCTCCCATTTCCACTGACTGGTGGGTCTCATGGAGGGGATATAACTAAAGGTGCTTAATTTCGTCTTGACCCATTAGCTTTAGAAAACTAGGCTTCATTCTGATTTAATTCTAATCCTTAGTAGACCTAAAAAGGTTATGATCCAGTAGAGGCAATGCAATAAGAGAATTCATACACTTAACTGGTTCATTCTGACATTGGCTTGACCATTGGGTTGAAATTTACTTCTTTGACTCTATGTATGTTCTACTAGATGGGTCTCATTTTCTCTCACTTTCTCTCAACATGTCATTCAAACCAGTGGATACAGCTTGAGAGTGAATGACGTTTCCTACCAGAGAACTCAGGAGGGGGGTCCGGGATGTGGAGGGGCTGTGGAAGAAGCCTTGCTGGGGGATGAGGTACTCATCGGCATCTACGACGTCTTCCATGTCTTCTTCGTCCATCAGGGCGCGGTAAAAATTGGAGTCTGTAGGGCTTGGCAGATGCATTCTCTCATCTCCCTGGTGCAGAGATTGTGAGACAGTTAGTGAGGCCCAGAGAGATGCTAGTCCACTTCCTGCCTAGAGGAGGGATCTGTGGTCACAAACAGGGAGGCCTATTTGTTCGCCAATTTAGTTATAACAAAATCACCCTGGTTCTCTGAAGTCTAGCCGCTTCCTTCCCTCCCCTACTGACATTAAGACACTAAAAGTTCTTTGATGTTTTAAAGGCCCTGGACGAGGGGCGCCTGGGTGGGTGTCCCAGTTGGTGAAGCGTCTGACTCTTGATTTTGGCTCAGGTCATGCTCTCACGGTTCACGAGATCGAGCCTTGCATTGGGCTCTGCTCTGTTGGCACAGAGCCAGCTTGAGATTCTCTCTCTCTCCCTCTCTCTGCCCCTCCCCTGCTTAAGCATGCTCACGCTCTCTCTGTCTCTCTCTGTCTCTCTCTCAAAAATAAATAAATAAACATAAAATAAAATAAAAGACCCTGAATAAAATAGAAACAGCATAAGAGGAAGAAGACAGGGGCGAAGCAGCAGCATTTATTGAGTGTTACTATGCTGTTAGGTGCTGTGGTCATTTGTAATAAGAAATTTATCCCTACTCAGGACACAGAACTCTTAGACCCCAGGAATTTCCGAAGTGATGAGAGCTGCAGAGGTGTCTTTTGCTACATTAATGAGTGGCTTTAGGACCACACCCAAGGACTGGAACTATCCGTCTCACCCCTGATGTCTTGGAATGGGGGAGGCGCTGGAGGTTGCATCAGTCCCCATGGTCAGCAATTTAATCAATAATGCCTATTTAATGAAGACTCCATATAAACCCACAGGGACCAGGGTCAGAGAGCTTCGAGGCCAGTGCACACATGGAGATTTGGGGAGAGACACCCAGCTAGTGTCAGAGAACTGCTTGCTTGGAGGTGCGTGGAGACCCCCTCTCCCCCACCCCCCAACACACACCGGAATGCTAAGCAGCACCTTTGGGTGCTATGAGATATGTTCTGCATTCATTATTTCACTGACTCAATTAAAACAGCCCCGTGAGTTTGGTTTTAACCTAAAGTGGGAAGTGGAGAGCCAGAGATCTGAAGCCAGATTGGTTGACACCAAGCCCCGCTTCTCCATCAGACCACGCGAAGGCTCTGGCTAACTGAAATGTAAAGGTGACATACGGGAGGGGGTGTGTCTGGGCACTAGACTTTAGAAGGGAATGGCAAATGAACTTGGAGGTACCACACATGCCCTCCTCTTAGTTCAAGGCTTGCTGCAAATGCATTGAGGATTTAAGGACGGGACCTGGGAGACAGGGAGGCCGAGCTGGCCCACGATGCAACACGGTGACATTTGACGCCCATCAGAGGGACCTCTCCCAGTGGAAGTTCAGACTGTGATCCGGTACCTGGATGACAAGGTAGCGCTGGGGGTCTCGGGCCATTTTGGAGAATTCAATGATCAACTCACGGAATTTCGGGCGACTGTCTGCATCTATCATCCAGCCTGGGGAAGGAATGAAGAAAACAGTACAGTCAGGCCCTGAAAGAAATGGTAGAGATGGCACTGCTTCACGGGGGCATTTATGGTGACCTCTTTGTAGGCAAATAAGTGATGCAGAAACCTAATCTCTGTGATAGACGTTTCTGTCTTGGCAGACGAACGTTGGTCACAGTTTACAGACCGTGATGACACAGTACACTTGAATCAGAATGACAGGAGCATCCTCTAATTTTCTATGCCTACTCTTCCTAGAGCCAGAGTGCCGGCATTTTCACTGCAAGTGACCCAGCATCGGGGGCCGCACTATTTGTGAACTGCTCTGACTATAGGCAGCCCCCGGCGTGCAGGCTCTCCGGCAAAGTCCTCCCTGGACATCCACGCTCGTCTATATTCACTTGGCAGTCTTGCAAGCTGGACACTCGATTCAATTTAGAGAAAGTTAGGGACTTTCTTTAACAGCCTCAGGGTTTGGGAACTTCCCATCCTGGTGCTTTCATTGTCTTACATATTCAGTAACCAAGCACGCAAGCGAGGGGGGTGTTCCCGAGTCTTCCTTAAGACACATGTTAACCTCACTGGCACATTTGATTACACAACGATCTAAGTCTGGATCAAACAAGCTGGAGGAACGGTTCTCAGCTGGAAATCCTCGCGTCTCTTGAGGGTTCACATTTACTTTCTATCAGCAGGATGTCAAGCTATTTTTGGACAGACTGCTTATGTGACCTTAGAGGAATCATGTAACCTCTCTGGGCCCCAGCTTCCCGGGCCCAAAGCGAGGAAGTGAGAGTAGCTTACCTCTGTGGTCTGAAGTTCAGAAAGGCAGTAATATTTACATCAACTTGGCCCTGTCATACCCCCTGTGCTCCCTTGTTTAATCAGTATAACGTTACCTTCAGAGCCTGCTGAACGCGTGGAATAACAGCATCAATCAAGTTACACACTCTTATTTAGATTAAAATGTGTACTTGCTACACTGCACAAGACCTCACGTTGATCTATTATTTGAAAGGCTGAAGTCAAGACACAAATGTTGACTCTGTTAGCCTCATGTGCTTACTCATTGTCAGGCATTTAAAAACATTCTGTCTCTCTGGTAACGGGCCTCAAAATGCAGAGTGCCTTTTTCATTGAGCAACTCAGAGACTAGAATATTTCGGTGTAATGGCTTATGGGGGAATTTGATTTTATTTATTTGCTTCCAAACATGGGCACATGCCAGGTCACAGTGCTCAAAGGGTCAAGCAAGTGCTTCCTGAAGAATGTTGGAAGAGGGTGTTTACTAGAGGATGTTCCTGGACTTGAGTGCCTGCTGTAAAGATGTGACAATATTTCCTCAGGGAATCAGAGGCCTCAATTTTTTTGGCTAAGGGCAGTGATGCCTTTCCAGGCACAACAAGGGGCTCTGAGTGCCAAGGTCCAGCTAGGCAAGAGTGGATGGCCACAGCAGTCACTCACACTTGACCATGATCATGTAGACATCGATGGTGCATATGGGTGGCTGCGGGAGGCGCTCTCCTTTCTCCAGGATGGTCGAGATCTCACTTGCGGGGATTCCGTCGTAAGGTTTAGACCCAAAGGTCATCAACTCCCAAACGGTGACTCCTGAGAGGATGAAGAGTTGCTTTACGAGTCGATAATAATCACACGGCCTCGCCTTTGGTCATTATTTACATGTTTCTAACATTTAAAAACCCATGTTCCTGTGGCTTTGGGCCATTAGCTTGAGTGCTGGAAAACTCATTTTACCTTTGGGTAAAGTAGGATAATAACAGCATCTGTCTTAGAAGACAGTTGTGCAGATCAAATGAGATAACACAACGGAAATGTTCAGACAAGGCCAGGCGAATAGTAAGTGGCCAATAAATGGTAAACTTCAGTAACAGCAACAATGACAACACAAGCACCGTAATGACATACATGTTATTATGCAAGGAAGCAGGAGTCACACACTCAGACATCTCCCCTAAATGACTTGGATCTACGGAAGATGGAGACCTACAGACAGGGTTATATACACTGCACGTTTTAAAATTATAATAAAAACTGGAAACAGAGAACCCCATAATCTTTTTAACAAACCTAAAAACACCATACCTTTTATTTCAAAAAAATAATCAAGCATCATGATTAAAAAAAAAAAAAAAAAAAAGCAAAGCAGTTTTAGAATTGGTGTTTTTCCAGGCCCTCCCTGAGTTCTGACGATCCTTCCATCTCTGTGCCTCCTCCCTTGACGGAATTCTCTGCTCTAGAAACCTGGACAGCGAAGGAGCACTGGGGAGACCAAGAGAGGAGTCCGGTGGGACTGAGCCCAGGTCCCCGACTGCATGGAGAGGGACAGACACAGGATCCTGGCAGTTTCCTGATAATCCAATTGGTCTGATGACAGACTTTCTTTAGAGCTGGCCTCTAGATACCTATTACCACAGGTCTGCTTGGATCATCCAGAGGCCATCACCAAACTGAATGACCTGAATATGCAACATGCAGGAGTGAAAAATGGAGTAAAGTAATGGTTCAGGGGTAAGAAAGTAGATTCTCCTGTCCTTCCTCACCAGTGTCAATATGGACTGGATGAAAAAATATCTCATCTCCAGATCCATGAAGTCAATGAATTCTCCTATAACTAGGTTTAGACATTGTGTTTAAATATGCACATCGAGGGGTGCCTGGGTGGCTCAGTCGGCCAAGTGTCCGACTTTGGCTCAGGTCATGATCTCACGGTTTGTGAGTTCGAGCCCCGCGTCGGGCTCTGTGCTGACAGCTCGGAGCCTGGAGCCGGCTTCGGATTCTGTGTCTCCCTCTCTCGCTGCTCCTCCCCCACTCGTGCTCTGTCCCTCTGCCTTACTCTCTCTCTCTCAAAAATAAAGCAACATTAAAATTTAAATGTGCACAATTCCTCTGGGAAGTCAAGGTTTGAGTGGGCCTGAAACATGGCACAAATTCTCTTTTCAACTCCTAAGCATAACACGTACATTCCTAATTTATTAAAATAGTTTGTCTTGAATGGGGACTAGAGAGTGGGGTAACAGGATATGTTTTCTAAACTAAAACTTCAGGCTTACGGTTTAACAATTCCAGCGTACTGCCAGGGACAACAGATCGATCCTAATGGCTGACAGCACATCTTCCGCCGAAATGAAAACCACATGACCGCCATAGTGATGCTGAGTCTCTGATACTGGTAATCATTCAAAGGTATTAAGTCACAGAACTGTAGAGAGTGTTCATCGATTCAACAAATGTGGATCAACTCACGGACTGTGAGTTGGCTCACGCCAGTGGCAAGGATGGAAACTCGGCCACATGATCCTGGACAAGCCAGACCTGTCATAATTGTGATCTCACCCACCATGGTTAGGGGCTCAGGTCTTATTTGGAACATACATGGAAAACCAAAGAAGGATGATACTCAGAGAAGTAAAAGCCTGCTTTAGTTTAAAAATAGTTTTTGCCTGTTGTCTGGAGAATAGATGAATGTGTGTAGAACAGGAAGAGAAAAGACCCATGGCAACTCTTGCTATGGTGTCACTGAGGGAGGGAGGTGACAATGAGGATGCCTCTGGCCGGGATTCAGGATCAGGAAAAGAAGCATTTCCTCCTATCCCTCTTGGGGAGTAGACATATCTTGGAAATGACTAAACTAACAAGGCATCAGAAGAGCTTTATTTCCTCATCTGGTTCATTCATGGCAGGCAGCCCCGCTCACAGGCACGTGTAAAAATTCACTTGTTCACCCACAAAGATCTCTGTCTTTGTAAAGCTTGCATTCTCAGCAGAAGACAAAGATCCATGAAATTAAAGCACATTTAGAATATTAGGAAGTCAATAGTACTATGAAAAAAAAACCACTAAACAGATGATATCCTGAATGATTTGGTTTTGTGATAATAACTAAATTACTCTTGGAAATTTGTTTCAATATTTCTCTCCCCAAGTACCCATTTCTACGGAGGGGGTGGCCCCTCCCCTTCACCCCCATTGCTTTAATAGTGGAAATAGACGGATAATTCATGGATAAATATATTAGATGAGCTGTTTGGCAGCCTTCCAGCAGATTGCTGGACTTGTGAGGGCTGACTGTGAACAGGTGTGGGTGCCTAGCACAGCAGTCAGTGAAAATGTGCTAGTGACACTTTCTTAAATGGTGAGGCCCTTGTAGGCTCAGGATGTCCTTTGTACAAAGGCAATGAGGCAAGAATGGGAAAGGAGTGTTTGAGAGGAGAGGCACAGGCCTGTGCAGGGCCATGGGGAGATTTGGAGGGGGAAACAGAGAGTCAGTCCCGATGAGATGTCCTCACTAGAGCCACAAGCAGTAACTATTTCCCTTGCCTACTATTATTATTTTTTTCCCCACAGACACATCCTCACAGTGCACTCTTGTCAAGTCATTCTCTCTGATACACACAGACCACCATTCACTGCAGGAAACAACAGCCACTGAGTTAGTCTGTCACAAGACCTCATTTCTCTACCCGGAAACTCTTCCCCATGAAACCTCATTTGTCATCTGCTTTTGGTTCACTTCAAATCCATGGCAAGAGGTCAAGTTTGGTTTGATGTCGCAGGTACAGGCATTTCCTAAGTCCAAGCTCTCTCTCTCCCTCCCTTTCCCCCCTCTTGACTAGTTCACTGATATCTCCAGTGACAGGCAGTGTGGTAGTTAGACTCAATTTCCTTTGTCATGTCCTTAGTATAATAGACAGCAACAAGGACACTATTATCAGCCATGGTCTCAAAAGACAGTATTTGGATGACAGAGCATATAATGTAAATCAACAAACGATACAAGCCGGCTTAGTCTCAGCACGCATTCATTAGCATCAAGATTTTGACTCACCATAGCTCCAGACGTCACTTTGGTGGGTGTAAATTCGGTGTAAAATTGATTCCAAAGCCATCCACTTGATAGGCACCTTGAAAGGATGAGAGAAAAAGTAATAAGGTAAACTGTTAGCTTCCCTCTGTTGAAAAAAAAACTAGATCACATTGGAACAAATTACAAGTGACAAATGTGGGAGAGCCAGGCCACTGTACCCCAGTACCCCAGGAGCAGTGCTCCCCCCGCCAGCGGGAGGAGCAAGTTTAATACCTGGTAGAAAACAGGGCTATTCTGTTGGTCCCCACATGCAGTTTCATAAATGCCTCGGCTGAGGACCTTTGGTCTGTGGGCTCTTCTGGTGAACTGGGTGCACCTGATGGGGGCTGGGGGCCCTGGTCGTGCACTGTGGTCCTAGCCACCTCACGTTTAGGGGTGTTTGAAGCTGCTTGGAGCCATAGAGGCCAGAATGAAGCTTAAGAGGGGTACAGCTGCTTTGGAAATCCTGGGGGACCTGCACCCCTCAGTGCTGGGAGAGAGTCCCCCAGAGAATCCTTAAGCCTGTCTGGGAGGAGGGAGCCAACTCTACAAGAGTCATGGAGACCCTCAGGAGCTCTAGAACAGCATGGGGAATTTTCCATATTTCTAAGATGTCCTCAAGAGCTGTGTGCCACCAAATTGGCTGTAACACTTCCCAGATGCTCCTCTGAAGGGTGCTATATCCTGGAGGAGGAGGCTGAAACCTAACCCTGGACAATGGTCACCTGAAGATAGAGCTGGCTCGAGGTTGTGGCTTTGGCCTCTGAACGTGATAGAACCATCTATACCCACTCTCCCAGCAAATCCTGTTCTCAAAGCAGCGCCTCCAGCCTGCGTGGCCAGAAGACGACCCTGGCTCGATCCAGGTGTCAGGGCAGCTGCTGTGACCTCACCCAGAACTTCTGAGAAGGTCCCCTACATGGGTCATTTTGCTGGCAAGAAAATGCTTGCTGGTCTACCAGCCAGCTTCTTACTTTGCCTCCTTCCGCATGGTATTCTTTCTCCTCGGCGCCAAGCAGTTTGGCCAGCCCAAAATCTGTGATCTTGACATGCTGTGGCGTCTTCACCAGGACATTCCTGGCTGCCAGGTCACGGTGCACCAAGCGCCGGTCTTCCAGGTAGTTCATGCCCTGAAACATGGGGCCGTGCGGTGAGGGAACGCACTGGTTAGCCGACTCCCCTGGAGAGCGCGGACCTGGGTTCATACAAAGATGGCAAGGCGCTCCCCTCGGGAGAGCTGGTGCCTGCGCACAGGGATTTGAGGCCATCTTCCCATAGGCTCTGAGCTTTCTGCATCAGGGACTTGTGTTTGCACCCATCTGTGTGCTTCCCCTGCAGGACACAGTTACTTGCACCTTCAACACTAGTAACCACCTACTAAATTTTTTTTTTTAATGGTAATTCATTTTTGAGAGAGAGAGAGAGAGAGAGAGAGAGAGAGAGAGAGACAGAGTGCAAGCAGGGGAGGGGCATCGAGTGAGGGAGACACAGAATCCGAAGCAGGCTCTGGGCTCTGAGCTGTCACACAGAGCCCAGCATGGGGCTCGAACCCACAAACTGAGCTGAAGTCGGACGCCCAACCGACTGAGCCACCCACGCGCCCCAGTAACTACCTACTAAATAGTGACAGAGCCAGAAGTCTGCTGTAGGGCTGAAACTTGGCTGGACGACTGGCTGGACTCGGGCAACCGTGCCCCCTGCCTGGTGTCCCCTTCCCTGTGCTTAGTTGATCTACGAAGCAGGGAAGGTAAGGGTGCTCACCAGGCTGGGGCAGAGCCCTGCTTCTGGGTGATGTGAAGCCACACTCCCCTCCTGCTTCCCTGGACGACCTGACGGGATTCGCTACCAATGGAGAAGATTGTTTCTTTTTCCAGTTTGATTTTTTTTTTTCATTGCAATCACGTGGATACCGCACCTGCTTTTACAAGGTGGCCCTTCCCACCCCCTCTTTGGGTTGCCACCCCAATTCTGTTGTAACCAGAGTCACTGCTAAAGCAAAAGAAAGAAAGAATACTTGAGAAGCACCCAGCACATGGCCTGACACCTGAATTCCCAGAAGTGTTACCCCTCAACTCCTGTCCTTGCCCACAGCTTTCTTGGGGTCTGTCGCACTCACTTCCTGCTGGCAAGTGAGGTCACTTCCGGCCGCTACTCCTCCTTGCTCCATGCCTGCCTGGCTCAGCCAAGCTCCCTGAGACCCTCCCAAGCTCCAACCTGTTGACATGAGAGTGGCAGCTCTCACCTCTGTGCAGGGCCAGTCTGGCAGGTGGGAGAAGCCATTAAGTTCTGCAGACATCTTATGTTGTTTGTCCCACATTCTCTCCCACTTACTCACAAATGTGCCTCTCTCTCTCCAGCCGGGAGAATGGGCCAGGTTTCCAACCTCCTTTACAGACAACACTCATGAGGTCCCCAGTAAAGACAGGCACAGAAATGCTTATTGAAATGCATGAAATGGAGCCAAATGGGCTTCACTGACCCTGCATTACTCTCTAGCTTTTTTGTAGCTATGGCAGGACTTCCATGTCGGGGCAATGGAAGGGAGTACCTGTAGGTAGATATGGATTCCCAGATTTTCTGGCAAATTCTTTGCTTCCTTTTGCACGGATGTTAGGTAAACATTATTAGTGAAGTGACATTAAAATTTTTTTCTTCTTATTTTTTTTAATGTTTATTTATTTTTGAGAGAGAGACAGAGCGTAAGCAGAGGAGGCACAGACAGAGAGAATCCGAAGCAGGTTCCAGGCTCTGAGCTGTCAGCACAGAGCCCGACGCGGGGCTCGAACCCATGAACTGTGAGATCATGACCTGAGCTGAAGTTGGATGCTTAACCGACTGAGCCACCCAGGCGCCCCCAATTTTTTTCTTTCTAGAGCAAAACTAACCCTCATAGGAAAGTAGGATCTTAGGAAGATGCTACCAGTAATTAGTCTTTGTGGGCTATTTTTGAGGGCTTCAATGTTTTTCTTTCCTTGGGAAAAAAATGATTAATTCCCATGTCTCCCTTCTCTGTGGTACTATCTAGAAAGTTCCTGAATGTTTAAGATACTGTTTGACTTAAGTGCCCCCGTTCTAAGATTTCTCAGGTGCTGCATAATAAGGTTAATAGGGCTCACGTCTACTCAAGAGGAAACCAGCAGGCTCTCCATGGGACAGCGTTTCCAAATTAGGGATTATTATTTAGGAATGGCATGTGGAGAGTGAGAGGCAAGGAACAGAAGCTGAGAAAACACTTCCAAACAGAAGGCTGACTTACTACGCCCTGTCACCTCTCCCCACGACCCCTTCACAGGGGGCTCCATTCATCAGCTTCCTTTTCTCCTTTGGTTCCTGCTTGGTCCTCCTGTCTCTTATACAAGAGTAAGTCCTCTATTAAACATGGTGTACTCTTACCCATTCCAAAAGGGTTAACTGAGCTTGGCCTCTCGCCTGGTTAGCACAACATGTGCATTCCAGGCTGTATTAGCTCACTTGTTCTCCCTCCTTCCTTTTCTCTCTTGCCCTTGTTTTCTCTTTTTCCTTCCACCCTGCATGGCTTGCGTGCTCATCAGACCTTTCCCGAAGATTGCCTCAGTGGTAGGGATCACGTAGCTGTTGCACGTTCATATAGTAATGATCACACATTAAGTCCTGACACACGGGAGCCCGTCAACCTTGCCCTATCCCTCTGACTTTATTTCAAATTTGTGCTCTGAGTTCACAAGACCCCCAAGGGGGGATGTTAGAGGGTATTTCCAGCTTCATCTAACTACCATCTCAAACCTTTCATTCTGCCTATTGGAATGCCTAACAATCTGTGCACTGGACACATTTGCACAAAAGTTGTTGAAAAATGAATGAATGAATGAATGATCAGAGCAGTGGACAGTTGTGAGCACTGATGATGTGCCAGACATTTCAAATACACCTCCAAAGAAAGCCACTCTGGTGCTGGGGTCCCGGCACCCACATGACCACCTTGAGAGCCGCCCCAGAGGGTCTAGAGGCCGGTCAGACCAAGTGCTCTGGGTCCTTAAGACCACCATTGGGACCCAGACCTAATTTCCTACTGATACTCGCATGCTGGCCCAAAGGCTGCCTCAGATGTCGAAGAAACTCCAAATAAACAAACAAAAAGACCCTCCGGTCTTTAAAGGACAGAACCACTTTAATAAATTGTGACGTTTTCTCAGAACATCGGTCTTTAGAGAAGCCTTGGGAATGGGGAGGAAAGAGCCATTTACATCCTCTGGAGCACCAGCTAATCAGCCAGAGGGGTTTAAATCAGAGATGATTTGGGGGCGGCAAGATTAGGCTCATTTGAACTTAGATAAAACTCTATTCATCAAGTCTCTGTCCCACACTTATAGAGGCAGTTTCAAAGACCATCTCAGTGCCCAGCAAAGTTATATTTTAACCAGTCAGCAAAGATAAGAGACGTGATAAGAGCCCATCTACACAGAGAACCACAGGAAGCTGTATCATCACGGGCTCAGTAGGGCCTCTTTGGGGAGCTCATTTCCTGAAGAGATCCTCTCTTTAATTTAAATCAACATATTTATTTTTGTTAATTACTACAGGACAGCTAGGATGAATTTTGAAATATGAAGGTTATACGGGAATTTGAAGAGCCAGCTTGGAACCTGTATGCACACAAGAGAAGCCCAGGGATATGCTTCACACGGATATTAAGGATTTTTCTGGCATACCACCTACGGAAGAAGAAAGGACTGGGGGTGGTTGAGTTTGACATTTACAGACTCTTTTCCCTGAGGGCTGCAGCATCCTACAACTCTTGGGAGGAGTCCAGAGTGAGAGGCTGGGATCCATTTCTGTTCTATTTCATAAACAGCTATGGGGAGTCCATTGACCCCTGACTTCGTGAGTACGGAAATGGCACAAAGTAGGAAGTAGAGAGGTTGGCAGATGGTTTTGGCAGAGTAAACTCAATAGTATGTTTCACCTACCACTGAGCCCCTACCCAGAAGAGGTAGAAAGTGTCAGAATTTCCAATCCCAGACAGGGCTCGTTTGGCACCAACATCCTACTGTGAGGGGACAGGAGACCAGCCAGGCTCACTGGTCTGTGGGTTCTGCCCTGAGCCATGACAGCAAGTGCAAGAGTACGGAAAATGAAAACCACGATGAGATATCACCTCACACCTGTCAGAATGGCTAAAATTAACAACTCAGGCAACAACAGATGTTAACGAGGATGCAGAGAAAGAAGAACCCCTTTGCACTGTTGGTGGGAATGCAAACTGGTGTAACCACTGTGGAAAATAGAACAGAAATTCCTCAAAAAATTAAAAATGGAACTAGTCTACAACCCAGCAGTTGCACTACTAGGTATTTATCCAAAGGCTACAAAAATGCTGATTTGAAGGAGCACACGCATCCCGATGTTTATAGCAGCACTATCAACAACAGCCAAAGTATGGAAAGAGCCCAAACATCCAACAGCTGATGAATGGATAAAGAAGATGTGGTTTATATATACAATGGAGTTTTACTCGGACATCAAAAGGAGTGAAATCTTGCCATTTGCAACAACGTGGATGGAACTAGAGTGTATTATGCTAAGCGAAATAAGTCAGACAAATATATGATTTCACTCATGTGTGAAATTTAAGAAACAAAACAGATGAACATAGGGGAAGGGAAGGAAAAATAAAAACAGAGAAGGAGGCAGACCATAAAAGACTCTTAACTCTAGAGAACAAACTGAGGGTTGCTGGAAGGGAGGTCGGTGGGGGATGGGCTAAATGGATGATGAGCGTTAAGGAGGGCACCTGTTAAGGATGAGTACTGGGTGTTATATGTAAGTGATGAATCACTGGGTTCTACTCCTGAAACTTTATGTTAACTAACTTGACTTTAAATAAATATATTAAAAAAAAAAAAAAAAAGAAAAGAATACAAAACAGTATGGACTTGGGAGACTGGCTGCCTGGGGCCCAATCCTGATTTTGCTACTTACTAGCTCAAGACCTCGGCAAGTGACTTACACATGCCTGTGCCTCAGTTTCCCCATATGTAAACTGGGCTCCTCAGATGGTTAAATAAGTTAATCCATGTAGAACACTCAGGATGGTGCCCAGTGAAAGCCCTTCATCATCTCCCCCGAAACTGCCAAATCCACCCACACTTCT